AAGCAATATTAAATTATGCAATTTTGAAGTAGACTGAAATTGAATTTTCTTGTAAAATATATTAAATAATATTTGTTTTAAATCGTTTTCTACAATGTAGATAGTTTAAGTGAAAAAAAATCACTTTAAGAGTTTTACCATTAATACAGACTTACCATTAATAGTTAATTAGTACATTAAATAAAACATGAATTTTAAATAGAAAGACTGAAACGGTATTTTCTTGTAAAATATACTCAACCTTTGTTTTTCTTTTTACTTTTAAATTTTGAAAAATCTTTTGTTTTTCAATGTAGTTTTATCTTAAGTGAAAAAAATCATTTAATTATATTTATTTAATTTTCATTCATTCATTCATTCATTCATTCATTCATTCATTCTTACCATCATTCATTCATTCATTCATTCATTCATTCATTCATTTATTTGAACTAATTTACCATTAATACAAACACTGCATCCATTGTGTCCAACATATTTTCACTTGGAAACTCTGGACTTAAAGAAAATACTGAGTTTCCCAATTGTAATTACGACTTCACATGCAATAAACTCATAAATACAATCTTTTAGATGGGACTTGAATGCACCATTAGTTTTGTTTAGCCAGTCTTTGGACTATCCACACAAATTGTGTCCACATGGCAACTAATATAACAAATTTGCCAAAATATAAACAAATATCTTATTCAACATAATTTTTTTCCAGAACATTTATCTTGTTTTAAGGATGTTAAGTTGTTTTTAAACAAAAATACTGATTAAGAAAATAATATTTAATACTGGGCACTGACATTAAAAGGGGTCATATGATGTTGCTAAAAAGAACATTATTTTGTGTACTTGGTGTAATAAAATGTGTTTATGCGGTTTAAGGTAAAAAAAAAACATTATTTTCCACATACTGTACATTATTGTTTCTCCTCTATGCCCCGCCTTTCTGAAACGCCCCGATTTTTACAAAGCTCATCGGTCTGAAAAGCGAGGTGTGCTCTGATTGGCCAGCTATCCAGTGCGTTGTGATTGGCGATTTGAGACTTTAGTCTTTGCAACTTTACAGATCTTCTTTATGCACCAAGAGCTTGTAACACTTCAAAGAGAAAGGAAAAACTGAAATCGCATCATATGACCCCTTTAACATGTAAAGACATGTAGATCATTAGTTCTGTGCACTTGCTAATTATAACAGTACAATCTGCTCTACACTTCTAGGTCAATTACACTTAGATGTGCATCAAGGCAAGCAACTGATGAACAGAAATGGCAGTTTTACTTCATTCGGGTCACATGGCATATCTGCAGGATCTTACAGTATATTAGCACAAGTGCTTTCACGTACAGAGGTAATGTAACGCCCTTCGGTCTCGTACTAACGAGGGCAATACAGCTGACTGATGTTCTGTTGGTAATTGGAAGAAGAGATTCATCTGTAGCCATGGCATGTAGGAACAATTTACAGAGCGGATAATTACAGCCCAGTCTGTCGATTTTGAGTAGTTTGCATAAATTCATTGGTTTTTATAGTCATATAGATGCATGATACATATGATGTGAACCCTCAAATGAGTCTCGCTTGATGTTGAGTACATGCATATGAAGAAAACATGATTTAGGTCACCTTTACTGAGCAGCGGAGTGTGTAATGAACGCTAATGTAGAGACCTTTATATGAAGACTAAATCTTGGGATGAGCATTAATTACACTGTTTTTCCATTCACACAATTTACATTACATTTAGAAATGATAACAAATGAAACAATTAAATGTTATAATATTAATAATGACAATTTCTGCCAGTAGGGACAGATTGTTTATCTCATGGGCGAGAAACTTCCGGTAAACATTTGCAATTTGCCCAAAATGACCTTTAAAAATTTAATAAAATTAAAAATGTATTGTTCACATGAGTCAGATGGATGTCAATGCCTACTGCACCCAATTTTTTTATAATTTAATTTTCAAACAGTAGGGATGCAATTATTTAAAAAATTGTGGCTAATACCGATAAGCTGATAATTATGTTCATGTTATGGCCAAGAACCGATAAATGGTTTATACAATTCTAATATATAAAATTATACTAATATATATATATATATATATATATCTCTACTATTTGAATGAAAAATAAATAATTAAATTTAATTAAATTAAAATATACATTTTTAGAAATTTTATTTTATATTAATATTTTTACCTACAAATTTCTACTCAATAAAATATTTCAGAGCTTGACAAAATAAATATATAAATTAGATTAATTATAAAAAAAATTATGATTTTAATTTACATGACTTTTCAATGTCTAGACATCACACATTTAAAATTAAAAATTAAAAAATAAATAAAAGTTTGTCCAAGACCATGTGAACATTGGTTCTTAAATAAAATTGGTCATTGTTAAGGGATAATAACTTAATTAAGGAATTAATTAAGAAACTTAATTCCATTTTATTTTAAATCTTGTTTTGTCCTATTTTAAATAATAAGGTAATAAGAATATAATTAGAAATTTAAGCAATCTTGCAGTCTTTGTTTGAGAACCAAGTTTTAAGTGAACATTAGATGACAGCAATGGAAATCTAAATGTAAACAGGCTTAAATGAGCTTGCACAATTAAATGTTAGCTCATATACATCAATAACAGCTACTGATAAATAAATAAAAAATCATCATGCTTCCTTAAAAAAAACAGTCAAGCTTTGGACATGCATCAGTGAATAAAAAACAAAACATTAATAGAGTGTGTATTTTATTACAGAAGTCCCTGGCTGACCGGATTTACAGTTTTAGAGTCAAGAACAACTAATGTCCGTGACCGAGACGATAGTGACTGTTATGTCATGATGTTTTCCCTATTGAGAGAAAGCGATTTTATCGGCTATCGCAACAAGAGCAACTCCTTCCTTTGAACGAATCGAGCTCTGCAGCTGTAAATCCTGCTGTTAGCTGCAGCCGGAGCCCTGTGATGTTTCCTGAAAGCTCCTATACCTCTTGTTGTCAGCGTGATTTACGCACTCCTCCCTACCATGGCCGTTTCGCAAAAGTGGGTTTTCCAATCACCCGCCCTTAACTGCAGGGGGCGTAACCCCCGGAAACTCAGGGAAGGAGACGGATGAGATAAATCTACATCCAGAACACACATGCATGATGGATTCCCAGCGTGCATGAATGCAGGGATACATCACTGCAGACTGCTGAGCTCTACTGAGAGATTTATCAGAGGCGTGGACAACAAATTCCATCTACAGTGAGAGCCGGAGGCAGAAACTCATGCACACATCTGCTCAGATGTGCTGAAGTTACAGTCTACCCAGGCAACTACGTCAAGTTACCACAAAATTTGAATAAACGTAAATGTAAACCATAAAAAAAGAAAGAAAATAGATCCCTCATCAATTCAATTCAGCTGAAGAAAGCGACTCAAAATTTGAGATCAACCGATAATCGGTTTAACCAATATTTTTACAGACATTATTACTAATGATTACCTTTATGCAAAGGTGACAGGCTCCTTTAACATTTTACATGTATGCATTTAGCAGACACTTTTATCCAAAGCGGAAGGTGAACTTTAAATTTCACTTTTATATTACATTTGAAAACATTAGACTTTGTCAATTTATTTTGCCTATTGTTAATATTATTGTTGCTGCTGCAGTTGTTGTTATAAAAATGCTGTGTTTTTATTGTGATATGAAGATGAAATTAAACAAAAATCACATACAGTCTGTCTGGTCATACTATATGAAATAATCTGATCGGTTGTGCTGAAGTTACACTCAACTATATCAATTTACCACAAAAATAAAACGTTATAAACCATAAAAACAACTCAAAAACATCCCTAGTCAATTTAATTCAGCCCTCGTTTTTACTACAACTAATAGGAAGAAGAAAATTATTGTGGGAATATGTCAATTCTAGAGTAGTACCATTTTAAGTACCATATTTGCATTATATATATGTTTACTTTTTATATAATGTTTGAATAAATCTTCAAATTCTGTCACATTGGTTCAGTTATGACAGCAAACAATTAAATTACATATTGGCAATAGTTTGGAGTAAAAATACAATAACTATATGATTAGAAAGCTGAAGGAAGCTCAAAGTGACTCAGAATTAGAAATCGACCGATATTCGGTTTTACCGATATTTTACTATTTTCAACTAATGATTACATTTATGCAAATTTGATAGTCTCCCTTGACATTTTACATTTATGCATTTAGCAGATGCTTTTATCCAAAGTGAAAGAAACTACAGAAACTTCTTTTATTTTTTATTTATTTCACATTTATTCATGTTCTCCATTTAAAAACATTGGACTTTGTCCAATTATTTTGCCATTTGTATTAGTGTTGCTGCTGCTTCAGTTGTTTTTATTTTAAAAATGCTGTTTTTATTGTTGTGATATGAACATGAAATTAAACAAAAACAAGGCAAACAGTAAATAAATATCAGTTCTGCATATCGGTTATTGAACATACAAATAATCAGCATCGGTACTGGTTCGCAAAATAAATATCGGTCAATCTATTAAAAATTATGGAGAATGTCATATTTTACAAATGTATTCTTCTTATATGCTCCCATCTATCAAACAAATATGTCCATATTGAGCATCTCAGTGCTCAATGAAACATCAAGTCGACTCACCTGATGTGTATATATAGCACGTGTGTCTACATCTGACACGGATCTATAAACACAGATGGATGGTCTCAGAAAACACAGAGCATCTGTCTTCCTCTTTGACTAATTCTGACTGAAAATCAATGTCCATTATGCTGACTCACGACTCTGAGTGTCGCCTTTATTTTATTTTCGACTCTAATATGATGCCCTCGGGTTTCAAAACTCGGCCCGTTTCAGATAAACCACACATACGTGATCTCGCTGTAACTCTTATGATTAAACATGAACTCCTGTTCCAACTAATTATATTAAACAAGTCAATACTTAAGCGAGAAGCACAGATGAGACTGAATCTTACCTCAGCTCCCGTCAGGTAGTACGCAGAGAGAAGACCACCAACGTAACGGATGTTCACCTCAAACAGGGACGCCTCTCCATTCTGCAGAAAAACAAACAACATTAAGAACCTCATCTTTGTGCCTTAGCAACATTACAAATTACATTAATAAATAAAGATAACATGCTGTAAGGTGATATAGCAAGGTCACATTCATACTACAAAGCTGTTTTTATCCTAAATAAGTGTTGGAAACCTTTTGTATTTCATATCAGAGGAGAAAAAAAAACAAACAAAAAAATGCATGAAAATGTTATTAAAAAAATTAAAGGGGCCACATTATGAGGAATCAAATCCCCCCTCCCTTTTTTTAGATAAAGCAGTTCATTGTACTATATTTAGGCCTAAACTAAAGATTTATGTATGTGAACATCATAGACATAATGTGATGCATATTTGTCAGTCATACATAAATCTGTAATAAACTGAAAGTGTTTTAAATACACAATAACCAGGTTTATATATGTATCATCAATAAATCCAATTTGTTTCAATCTCAAACATTTTAACTAACTGAATAATGCTTGTTCCACAGCTAGACATATTTTGACCATGTTCATACTTTTCAGCTGAATAAATTCTGTTTTCACAATGAACAGATTCTAAGCCATTTGAATAAATGCATTTTGAATATATGGTTATTTAAATAAAATCCAATAAATGCAAATAGTTCATATTTGCATTCTTACCTGTTGCATTTATGCATGACTGACAAATATGCATCACAAATGGATGGTAATTTTATATGCAATTCAAACATAAATCCTAAATGTATGGCTCAATATTATAATTTTTTTGAGCATATGAAACTTTCAAAAAAATGTTAAAGGTCAGAAAGAGTGTAGAAAATAGTCACAGAAAACTAAACTATTACTATTTTGCCACAATAAATGGTCCTTCAGGAAAAAATGAAATAATAAAAATGCATGAACGCTTTAAAGTACATTCACATCTCAAAGAGTGATTTCCTGAATCCATGCGGCTGTGACCTCTGGCCGTGTCGCTCAGTGACTTGTATTCAACACGACGCAGTGCGTTCCTGCTGCGGGGAAACTGCCAAGATCTCTGCGGCCAGGGCTGAGAGGGCAGACCGTTATTAAGCACTTTTAGACAATGTTTCCTGCTGCTGGGAGTCAAAGGAGGCTATTGATTTATGAAGAGCGTGTGAATAATAGCAATTGTGCAACGTGAACTTTTCTCAGCAAGACCACTATGAATTGTTTTTCCTACTGCAAATCAAATCTCAAAATTATTACATTTAAAGTCACTCATATCAAAGTGATTTATGGTACAGGCCTATAAGCTGATAGGCTGAAATTATTTAAAGGAACAGTTCAACCTCAAAATATGAAACAATATTCTTTCATAGACACAAAAGAAAAACTTGTTAGAACGTTTATGCCAAAACAAATACACCAGCACTAGCCATGTAGTCCAATTCACAGTAAATGATTCAGTGGAGCAGGGTTATTTAAATGAATAATTTTCACTGGCTTGAATCAGTCTGACGAATCCTTCAATGAACTCAGAGCCGTTACGGAACCACTTTTTTTGTCTACTGAAAGTTCGTAAAATATAAAACACTGTAATTATTGAATCAACATCTGACTCACTTACTGAAATGCTACTTATTACTTTAAATGTTGTCCGTCTAAAAAAAAAAAAGTTTTTTTTTGTCTAATGAAGGTTCGTAAACACTCTGGTTACTAACGTAACCTTGGTTCCCTGAGATAAGGGAACGAGCGTTGCGTTTAACACGCTTATGGGGAAACTCCTCTTTACTCTGATACTGAAGCCTTATTATGTAACTGCACGAACAAATGGCGCTTCATCTCGCCAAAAGGGGAGGAGCCGACTGCTATATAAGTCAGCTCAGAGCACTATTCTACAGAATCTTTCGACTGTCAGCGACAATGATATACATTTTGGCTTATATCACCCTTATGCATGTTTATATAGACTACAACTTTAAAAAAACAGCATAATTTAAAAAATTGTTTATGCAGTGGCCTACAATAGAGACCATTAAGATAAGAGGAGTTAAAGGACGGGAGAAGCCCTAAGGAGATATAATATGTCAGCATAATTACGATCACTTGAGTTTGCAAGGAGTTGAGGTGACAAGAGTCCTTATTGACTTGCAGCCACTTACAGGAAGGAAGCAGAACCTCTGGAGTAGATGATAAGAGAATTATAGCAAAGAACCATAGAGGCTAATCACCTCTTCAATCCATTCAGTGATGCTCTGATCAACAGCACACTTAAATCACACTCACATCTGATATCTAAAGAGGCTTCCAGCGCGATTTGTGTCACTGCAGAACGACAGCAGTCATCTATCACAGCCTGCTTCAGAGCGACGTGTCAGACAAAGAGAGAGGACTATCCAAAAAACACAAGACTTCACTGCGAGCCAAATGAAAGTAATCCCAACTCACACAGAGAGTCTTTCCGTCTTAAATCAGCTGCTGCACTATTCACAGTGGCAAAAAGGAGCATGTTTGAGGAAAGCACACTAAACAACCATGAATTAAGAGAGGCTTTAAAAGGATTATCCTATAAGAAATCAGACAAATCCCAAGCTACAACGCTTAAGCAGATATTTGGGGGTAAATATGTTTGTGTATGTGAGTGTCTTTCCATTGTAAAAACACAAATATTGAATGGTTCTCACTCTACTTTCTGTGATGTCGCAGTATTTATAAAATAAATAGTAATTAAATAAAATGGCACATTTTTGTTAAAGAAACAGTTCACCAAAAAAATGAAAATGTGCTGAGGATGTACTCACACCATTCAAGATGTAGATGAGTTTGTTTCTTCATCAGATTTGGATAAATGTAGCATTCCGTCACCTGCTCACCAATAGATCCTCTGCAGTGAATGGGTGCCGTCAGAATGAGAGTCCAAACAGCTGATAAAAACATCACAATAATCCACAAGTAATCCACACCACTCCAGTCCATCAGTTCACATCTTGAGAAGACAAAAGCTGCATGTTTGTAAGACACAAATCCATCAAGACATTTTAACTTAAAACTGTTGCTTTTAGCCAAAATTATATAAATAATTAATAATTCAACAACGCTTCAACCAGTGATAAAGTTCATCTCCTGTTGTCTCTTACATCAAAATCCAGCCACAGATTTGTTTAGAGTTGTTTTGGACTGTTTTGGCTTGTAAACGGTGCTTGATCTGTGCATCCTTAATGACGGATTTGTTTCTTACAAACATGCAGCTTTTGTCTTCTCAAGATGTGAACTTATGGACTGGAGTGGTGTGGATTACTTGTGGATTATTGTGATGTTTTTATCAGCTGTTTGGACTCTCATTCTGACGGCACCCATTCACTGCAGAGGATCCATTGATGAGCAAGTGATGAATGCTACATTTCTCCAAACCTGAAGAAGAAACAAACTCATCTACATCTTGGATTGCCTGAGGGTGAGGACATTTAGCAAATTTTAATTTTTGAGTGAACTGTTTTGAATAATATTCTGGTGATTCATATTAAAATGAAAATGTTATTATAATGGTGGAATGCTCTTTCTTTCTCTTTCTTTTCTTGTTGGAAAACCCAAGAGAACATAATCAGCCAGACTTTTGCTTTAACCTGCCCATTGCCCTTCACTTCTGTGCTCCATAATAGCTGGGTGGTTTCAATCAAGTGTGTTGCGTTATTGTAACCGCTGGACCTCTGAGCTGCGGTGTGGTCATGGATAATGGCTGCACTGTCAAGCTAATGGTACCAAATTAGCATTTTAATTCCTGCACACTTGGCAGGCGGTGCACAAGGAAGGCTGCTGTAGAGATGCTATTGTTAGTAGCACAAAAATGGAGCGCGCTGAGATAATGAATAAAATTACTGCGGCTAAAAATACAACACGCTGAAAGCTCCTACAACGGTTCAGGTGGTTCAGAGATGCAGTGCTGTTGTGCTGTTCTGTACCTCACATGCTGGTAAGCACTGAGTGGAACAGGCATATTTTTAGACAATGTGCTGCCCGGTTTGGTTTGAAGAGAGACGATGCAGGCATGTGCTAATATGATTAGCCACGAGAGGATCTGTTGTGTATAGAGGAAGACAGGAAACTTGCATTTGGGTTCAGAATAACATGCTGGCGTTCGATCCTTTCTGCAGTACATAGTGTATTATTTACTCATTATTTTATCAAACTGACAAACAATACAAAATTTAATTTCTTATTTCCAAGACTGTTTCCTTTTCAATTCATGACTTTGAATTAGAAATAAATATAAATAAATATATAGTTAATGTTGACTAATTATGAAAGTTTATTCTGATATACGGAATAAATACAAAATATAAATATACTATTAAAATAAAGTATATAATAATGTATTATTTAATAATTATATATATATATATATATGTAGTAAATAATATATTTAAATACATAAATAGTTTTAGTTTATTTTGTTTTTCCACATGATAACTGGATGCAAAAATTTGAATTTAAATAAAAATAAATATAAATGAATATATAATCCATTTTGACTAATTATGACAGTTTATTCTGATATGTATTCTGGAATAGATTTAGTCTCTAGTTAGACATATTACTAAAAGTTAAATACTGTCAAAACAATTAACAGCTTTCAAAATGGATTTTAATTTGTCATACAGCACCACAAAATGTTCACGACATCAGATGATTTTATAAAATCAAAACTTGAATTTAATGATTTATTAAATATATTGATTCATGCTTACTGAATATATTATATATAATTAAAATAAATTAAGCACTAATATCTGTAGGTGTCATTTCACATGCAGCTGTCACGCACATGCAACGTGATGTTGAGGCTATATAACATCAACTGTCTGAAACACTTACTGTGGAATAATGCATACTGTTTTTCACTTACCATTTTTAAAAAATAGTAGGCAGTATTCAGGTTTCAGACAGAGAACAGTCTTACATACATGTGCATCTTTAGCCATGTCACTGCACTAGTGTGTGAGTGAGAATTAGTGAACTAAGTACATCTTGAGTACATTCTCTCTGAACTGTCAG